ATGCCAGGGACAATGGGGGAGGAGGATGGGACATAGCAGAGGGTGGGGGATGGGGAATCAAGGATGGCAAAACAAAAGGCAAGGTATGCAGGACATAAGAATTGGAAAATTATTTGCTGAGAACATGTATGTTGATGTGCTTGATTGAGCCAATGCACAGTGTATTTTGGATGGAAAATTCATTTGTGTGTTGTGATGGTGTATAGTGAATTAATATAGAAAATGAATAAATTTTTTTTTAAAAATCACAAATCAGTGTAAGGAGTCTTTACTTTGACCCAGTAAGCGGGGATATCTAGAAGTGGGTGCTTGTAGGTTATAGGTGATTTTAGACATTTTTAAGTTAGTAATTAGTTGAACATGTAAGTCTTTGTCTCAAAGAGACTTGGAGTCAATAGAAAAGAATGTCTGAAACTGACGTGGATAAGAAGGCCTTGCTATTTATCTGGTGATGCTGTTCCAGGGTTAGGACGTAAGGAGTTGCCCACAATCACTAAACCAAAGTGGTCTGTTACAGCGAGATCAGTGTAGACGTGACTCTCCCAAGCCTCTTGAAAAGCATCTTAGAAGAGGAAGCGGAATCTGTCCTCACCACTCAGTGTAGGGGTCTCCAGTGGGCTTCTCTTGCTCTCCTTCCATTTGCCACACCTGAATAAATCCCCAGAGAAAAACAGCATGGTTTTGCCTGGTTTTGAATTTTCTGTGAAGGAATAATCACTGTGGACATTTCTTTCTTAATTTATTTCATGTCCCTGTATCCAAATTATCCACTTAACTGAGACCTCTCAGGACGACTCTTATTACAAACCTTTCCGCCTCCCTAAACAGGGACACTGGGTATCAGGTAACTGTCTGGGTGGCTGGGGTCGTCCTTATACACAACAATTGTGCTGTGCTGTAACAATACAGCCGTGACCTCGGGCCTTGCCCTGTGCAGGACTGTCAGTCTCTTACTGACATGGCCCCAGAATGTTACCTTTTGGTTTTCATGTTTACATTTCTACTTTTTCCATATCCACACTTACAGTGGTTTGGGAGCACGTGACCCTCCAAAGATCTGTCTTGCTGCACAGTTCATTTTTCGCTGCTATGCAGTCTTGTAGCTGAGGTTCACTTTTCACTGCTATGTAGTATTCCATATTCCACTACATGAAAATATAGTCATTTGAGCAAAGAGATGTGGTTGAATAACAGTAGATGGGAGGACCCAGGTGAGGCTGAGCACCCCTCTTCTCCCTCACAACATTAAGCTTCTCCCCTAGGTAAACAGTGATCAAGAATATGAATAATTTGTTCTCCTGGAGGGCCTTGCATCTTGGCCCAGTCCTGACAGCACAGATGTACATATTTAAAATGATTTATTTGCATGAGTAATACAAGCGCACGTCAAGAATCATGTGAGAGGTACAGCATGAGAGGAAAGCATCTTGCTAATTTTTCCCACTCCATCCCCCAGTTCCTGTACCCCATGGGTGCACACAACACAGCCCGAGCATGGCGTGCACCTTTGAGACTCCAGACTTCCCTTTCAGCAAAGCTGTGTAACTTCTTATGGGGACTGGGCGCCCCCTGGTGGATCTTCACTAGAGCACAATTCTCATGGCTCTTCACTTCAAATCCAAGTTCCAGAAGGGTAATTGCTTCAAGATACTGTTCCTTCTAAGGCAGAATTGGGACATTCAGCCTTTAAACTTAACTCTAACATAATATATAATAATTTTACAAAATTAAAACATGGTTCTTAAGACACAGTTATGAAAAGGAGAGTGTATATTGGCAATATCTGGGTCTACTTATTCTCCTGTAGTTAGGTCCACGCTCTGCTCAGTCTGAGCCTTAGACCTTGATTAGAAACATCATCACTTTCAGAAGTGATGCTTAGATTATGCCACTGGTCGGGAATATGGTTGTGAACTCCAAATATATATGAGGAGACTTTAAAAGGTTGTGGAAATGAAATTCAAATGTTTATTTTGGTGTAAAAAATATTGAAATCTAGGGGCCAGCAGTTAGCGTAATGGCTATGTCACTGGACTCCCACGTAGTCGACCGCAATTTGCGTCCCGGACCCGGTGGCTTAAAACCCACACCGGGCATGTGTGTGTGCATGCCCAAGATCCCAAGAGGAGAATAGAGAAGGGACTGCGGCGTGGCTATCCCCTCTGGGGGGTGATTTCTTGCTTTCTGTCTCTCTGTCTCTCTCTGTCTGTCTGATGAGCGCACGCACCCTATAGTGAAAAACCTCTCAAAAAAAAAATTGAAATCTATGCATAGTTTTTCTGTAAGACTTATTTTCCATGAGACTTTTGAAGACCCCCTTCTATTTGGAAAAAAATGTTAATATATTTTAATTTACCAAAGTGGTCATAAAGAACACAAGATTGAGCTTTCTTTCTTTCTTTTTTTTTTTTAATAGATTTGTGCTAGAGGGCACATATGCTCACCAGAGAGGCAGAGAGACAGAAAGTGAGAAATCCCCACCCTACCCCACCCCCCCAGAGGGATGGCTGTGCCACAGATCCTTCTCCATTCTCCTCTTGGGATTTGGGGCACGCAGGAACACATGCACAGCATGCGTTTGAAGCCACTGGGTCTGGGACTCGAACTGTGGTCAGCCATGTGGGATTCCAACCCCTTAGCCACTATGCCACCTGCTGGCCCCAAGCTTTCTCTTTAGAAAACACAGCCTTGCTTCGAATGCGGCTCTGATGTGGTCCCCATCTGGACGTGGTACAGAAACCCACAGGCTTTTCCTAACCCCTCTTCCCAGGAGCTCCTGACTTTGGGACTTCAGAGCCTGCGTGTAAACATACACCCCCATTAAGCCATTCCATTTTTAAGTGGAACTCATATGGATCCATTTCCACCTGGAAAGAAGCCTTTAAAATAGCTGGAGCAAGAGGCAAAAAGGAGTCAAAAGCATAAAACATGGACTTTCACTCACAAGAAACGAAACTCTGGACACACACGTTGTCCCGATTCTCCAGACACCGGGAAGCGGCCATCTTTCCTCTTACCTTTGTGCTCCCAGCGCGCCCAGCGTAGAGACGTGGCATCTGTTGGCTTGATGTTCAAAGGGGTTTGTGTTTGCTCAGCACTTGCTGGTCTTGCTCAGGGGCATTTTCACTTCCTATTTAAAAAAAAAAAAAAAAGATTCTGAAGACTTCAATTAAACAGTGAAACTATCTAGGCCAAACTAGAGCTGTGGAAACTAAGAACAGAATAAAAACCGCCCGCAGAGCCACCTGCTCACAACCCGTCCTATCTTCTCATTAGGGAGCCGGCCATTCCATGTACCCGAATTCCCACTTAACTGACTTCTTAGGACGCCTTTCATTACAAACCTTTCCGCCCCCCTAAACAAGGACACTGGGTATCAGGTAACTGTCTGGGTGGCTGGGGCCGTCCTTATACACAACAATTGTGCTGTGCTGTAACAATACAACTGTGACCTCGGGACTCGCCCGGTGCAGGGCCGTCAGTCCCTTACTGACATGGCCCCAGAATGTTACCTTTTGGTTTTCATGTTTGCATTCCTACTTTCTCCCTACCCACCCTTACAGTGGTTTGGGAGCATGTGACCCTCCAAGGGTCTGTCTTGCTGCAGAGTAAGAGAAGACCCGAAGGCTTTCCCCCGGGATGGCGAGTGCTCCTGATAGCTGAAGAGTCTGAGCTATTGGGTCCCCACCCCACCGCCTCCGCCCTCAGCCCTGAGCTGGGGAAGGTGATAGGAGGTATACGAGGGAACCACACATACTGAGAAGGTAGAACGGCCCAGGTCCTCTGGCCGGGACTAGGCAAGAACGCAGGGACGTGCAGTTCACCTAATGGGCAGGACGTCTCAGCACCTTGGTTGAAACAACAGTGCCCACCGGTGTGGAAGGGCACAGAGAGAGCTTCAGTGTGGCGATACCACACACACTAACAGACCCGTCAGGGTCTCTGGAACCCCGGCCCTCCTTCGAGGCACTGTGGCATTGCCTCTACCAGCCAGGACGGGCCAGTGGGCGGAGGAGGGGGCGGGGCGGGGAGGCCAGTGCAGTTCACTCTGACATCCTTGCTTTCATCGGTCAAGGACCTACTGTCACGAAATAGCCAGGTGAATGTTGATTCTCTTTCTCAGCAACCCAACTGGAAACGTCCTCTTTCCTCCAGATTTGCTGCACTGGGCACCAAGGGCGTAGGGCACAGCAATTCAGGGCAGTCAGAATTCTACCAAAAACATGGATAAAAGGTTATGAACAGTTGTCTGGGAAGGGGCAGGACCTACAGTCTCGTGTTTAAGTGCTGACCCTAGAGCCAGGCAGAAAGGACGCTGGTTCTGTACGTGCCGTGATCAGGGAGGAGTTACTGAGACCCAGCACTGCCGTCGCCCCCGGTGTAAAGTGGGAATGATGGCACACGTGACCCCTACTGCAGAGGGTAGGTGCGAGGAGTGTGTGAGTCACCGAGGAAAGGACTGAGAAGAGAGCATGGCCCCTGGTCAGTGCGCAATGTCGGCCACCAACTAGGACCTGCGCTTCGTGGCCCTCCTTTCGTCTCTCTGCTCAGAGACGATGACCCGCCGTCAGCTCCCTCTGCAGCAGAGGGTTTCTACCAAAGCTGCTACAAGTCTGCCCTCCTGCTCAGGGCCTCTCTGCAGAAGCCCTTCCCCACCTTGCTGCCTTGAGCTGGTCGGTTTCCCCACAGGACTCACTCCAGATGCTCACCTGTACCCAGCCCCTCCCTCTGCTGTGGTGTTGAGATGAGCCCCTTGGCTTTTTTCCTTTTTTAATAAAATGACATCATTGACCTGTCACAAAATACATACCTTTCGAGTGTACAGCAAGAAAATGTTTTATATCTTCCTACCCGCTAACAGCCAGATATTTAACATATACAAGGCCTGAAACACTGCGAGTCCCCTGAAGGTAGCTCCTTTGTTCCAGGCCACGTCAATTACTCCACCCCACCCCAACTTCTATTATGATACTGTCTCTCCTGAACTTGGGGTTCACAGAGATGGAATCATGAGCGGTTGTTGCACAGTCTATTCATTCGACGGTTAGTACACATTTGGGCCGTTTCCAGTTTGGTGGTTCTGCTGTTCACGAGCAGCGCCGCTGTCCACATTCTGGTCTGTGTCTTCCGTGAGCCTAAGTAGTTCTTCCCCGGGAACATGCCCAGGAGCGGGGTTGTGGGATCACAGAGTGCGTGGATGCTAGGCTCTGTGAGATGCTGCCAAACAATTTCCCCAAGAGGCTGCAACAACCTGCACCCCTTTTCAGCAATACGAGAACATTCCTGTTGCTCCCCGTCCTTACAACAGATAGGCTTCTCGGCCCTTTTCATCTTTGTCGTTCTGGTGGAGGTAAAGTAGCTTCTGGCGGATTTAATTTGCATTTTCCTGATGAGTATTGATGTTGAGTATGGTTCACATGCTTGCCTGTCATTTGGTTCATCTTAAGATCATTAGCTTGTTAATCATTTTTGTCATGACTTGTAAGAGTCCCTTATGTATTCGGGGACACAGCTCCTGTGGTGAGCAGAAGCATGGATGCATATATCTTTTCTCTCCTTATTCATGGACTTTGATTCTCTTAACATTTTCTTTTGCTAAAAGTTCTTAATTTCTAGACCAGCAGATGATGTAATGGTTACATTACTGGACTCCCACATAGTTAACCGTGGTTCAAGTCGTGGACCCAGTGACTTAAAACTCAACAGGGCATGTGTGCTTGTGTGCCCAATCCATTGCCATCCCCGCTGGAGGGTGATTTCTCACTTTCTACCTCCCTGTCTCTCTGGCGAGTGCACACGCTCTATAGCAAAAGAAAAAAAAAAAAAACTCTCTAAAAAAAGTTCTTAATTTCACCAAAAATTCAATTCATTTTTTTGTTAGTGCTTTTTCATCTGTTCAAAAGTCTGCAGAATTTGGAGTCAGCAGGTGGTATGTGGTTAAGATGCTGGATCCCACATGGCCAACTCATGGTTGGAGTTCCCTGTGGCTTGAAAAAAACACACAAAGCATGTGTGCACGCATATTCAAAATCTCAAGAGGGGAGTGGAGGAGAAGGGATTGCAGTGTGGCCATCCCCCTGGGAGGTGATTTCTTTCTTTCCTTCTCTCTTTCTAGCAAGTGTATGCCCCCTATGGCAAAACTAAAAAAAACAAAAATGAAGGCCACTTAATTTTCCAATTACTTTTTGGACAGTAGGGAGAAAATTCACTATTTCACCTTTAAGTACAGAGCTACTTACAGGTTTTCTATGAATGTCTCGTATAAGATTGAGAAAGTTTTGCTCTTTTCTCAGATTGCTTAGAGGTTCTATCTTGAACTGACATCTCACACTGCCCAAGGTTTTTGTGCATATACTGACATGATCAAATGGTTTCCATCTTCATTCTGTTAATACGATGTCTTACATTGATTGGTTTCTGAATGTTAAAAAAACCTTGGGGCGAGGTGGCTTCCGCCCTATGGCAAAAACCTATGGAGGCTGGAGGATTGCAACATTGAATCCATCTCTCTCTCTCTCTCTCTCTCTCTTTCTGTCTCTCTCAACACGCACAATTTTTAGGGGCCAGCAGTAGGCATAATGGCTGTGCTGCTGGACTTCCATGTAGTCAACCAAGGTTCGGGTCTCGGACCCGGTGGCTTAAACTCACACCAGGCATGTTTGCGTGCATGCCCAAGATATTGAGAGGAAAATGGATTGTGGTGTGGCCATCCCCCCTAGGGAGTGATTTCTTGCTTTCTGTCTCTCTGCCTCTCTCTGCCTTTCTGGCAAGTACATGTGCCCTATAGCAAAAATCTCTCAAAAAAACAAACAAAAACTTTGCAGTCCTCACTTAAATCCTACCGTGTTATGCATTTGCCTTTTTTAAAAAAAGTTTCTCTCATTCTCGATGGTATGATAAAATTTGTGTCATTTAAGTATTATTATTGTTTTACATTTATTCATGTATTCCTTCCATGAGTAAGAGAGAGAGACAGAGATACAGGCTCCCTCAACAAAGCCTCCATGCTATCATCCAACCCCAGCTTCAGCCTGCCAAGTTCATGGGCACACACATGCCAGGCATGTTCAGGGAGATCTCTGGAAGGGAGCCCAGAACCTTCCCACGTGAGTCAGCCTCAAGGAGTATTGTGTTACTGCCGCACCACTGTCAAGACTTATTATATTATTTATTTCAAAGACTGAGAGGATTTACCAGTCAATTCATTTGGGTTTGGAGTTTTCTTTGCTGGAATATTTTAAAACTAAAAATTCCGTTTCTTTAATAGCTGTAGGGCTACTAATACTTTCAGTTTCTTCATATGTCCATTTCAGCAAATCATGCTTCTTGAAGAGTCTGCACATGTCACCTAAGTCATCAGAATTACTGAGACAGAAAGCTGGGACAGCTGCAGGGCTTGCCATGGTGACATTCCTTACCTCAGCAAGACAGTCATTCAGCCTTGTCTTTTCAAGTAGGGAACAAAGTAAGCATCTTTGGAGGTTCTCTCAAGGTGTTCTTTCACCCCTCACTGTGTGACTTTGAAGGATAAACTTGCATCTCAGTTCCATTTCAGGCAGCTTCAGACACTGGACAACAAGCAAATTCAGCAAGTGGCTGTGTCTCAGTGGCTGTGTCTCAGTGTTGTGTATATAAGAATGGTGGTACCTCAGCGGTTGTGTGTTTCAGTGATTGCATCTCAGTGGTTGGGTCTCAGTGGTTCTGCCCATTATATTTCATAATCAGATTGCAAGGGAAGCCAAAGACAAAATACACAGGAGGCTTTGCCACATTCTTGTCTGTGCAATTCCTTTATCTCTAGTTCATCCAGCATCAATTCTAAGGACTATGCAGGTGCCAGGCTAGAAGGGCAGAAGCTCTGCAGCCACTTTAAGGAGCGATGAGTCCCCACCCTCACCACTAAGGTGCTCACAGTCAGCGTAGGGTGATGAGAACCAAACTTCTGCTTCTCTGTGGTCTCTGCCATCTGCCCCTTTGCCACTAATGGCCAATTTCTGCTCTCTGTGGGCCTTCACGACTTCTCATTCTTTCTTTTTGTGTTTGTTTGCTATAGGGCATACATGCTCACTGGAAACACAGACAGAGAGAGAAAGAGAAAGTGAGAAATCACCCCCCTCACACACACATGAGGATGGCCATGCCTCAATCCCTTCTCCTCTCAGGATACTTTTGGGTAGGCACATACCTGGTTTGTTTTTCAAGCCACCGAACCTGGACCTTGTAGTTGATCATGTGGGATCTAGTTACCTTAACCACCATGCACCTGGCTGACTCACAAGCATTCTTTATCTGAAAAATAACTACAGGAGCCAGCCCTCCACAATGGCTGCCACTGAATGTCACCTCCTGCTATTCTTGTGTAATCTCAGATAG